AAAGACCCCAAATAGCCAAAACAATCCTGAGAAAGAACAAAGCTGGAGGCATCACACTTCCTGAGTTCAAACTCTATTACAAAGCTATAGTAATCAAAACAGTATTGGGGCGCCTGGGTGGCTCAGTCGTTAAGCGTCTGCCTTTGGCTCAGGTCATCATCCCAGGGTCCTGGGATCGAGCCCCGCATTGGGCTCCCTGCTCGGCAGGAAACCTGTTTCTCCCTCTCCCACTCCCCCTGCTTGTGTTCCCTCTCTCGCTGTGTCTCTCTCTGTCAAATAAATAAATAAAATCTTAAAAAAAAAAAACAAAACAGTATGGTACTGGCATAAAAACAGACATGTAGGCAAATGGGATAGAATCAAGACCCCAGAACTAAATCCATGCATATACAGTCAACTAATATTTGACAAAGAAGCCAATAATACTCCATGGGGAAAAGATAGTCTTTTCAATGAATGGTGTTGGGGAAACTGGATGGTCACATGCAAAAGAATGAAACTGGACCCATATCTTACAACACTCACAAAAATTAACTCAAAATGGATTAAAGGCTTAAAATGTCTGAAGCCATAAAACTCTTAGAAGAAACTTTGGAGAAAAGTTCCTTGAAATTGGTCTTGGCAATCATTTTTTGGATCTGACACCAAAAGTATTAGCAACAAAAGCAAAAATAAACAAGTGGGACTACATCAAACTAAAAGTGTCTTCATAGCAAAAGAAATAACAAAATGAAAAGGAAACCTACAGAATGAGAGAAAATATTTGTAAACAACATATCTAAGGGATTAATATCCAAAATATATAAGGAACTCATACAACCTAATTGCAGATAATAATAACAATCTGATTTTTAAATGGACAGAGGATCTGAATAAATGTTTTTCCAAATAAGATATGCAAATAACCAACAGGTACATGAAAAGGTGCCGATCATCACTAATCATCAGAGAAAAGCAAATCAAAAGCACAGCGAGATATCACGTCATACCTGTTAGAATGGCTATTATCAAAAAGACAAGAGATAACAAATGTTGGCAAGGATGTGGAGAAAAGGAACTTTGTACACTGTTCATGGGAATTTAAATCAGTCCAACCATTATGGAAAGCCCCATGGAGGTTTCTTAAAAAATAAAAGTAGAACTACCACATTATCCAACAATTCTACTTCTGAGTATGTGCCCAAAGGAAATTAAATCACTATCAAAGAAATAACTGGGCCCCCATGGTGATAGCAGCATTATGTACAATAGCCTAAGATATGAAAAAAAACTAAGTGTCCATCAGCAGATGAATAGATAGAGAAGCTGTGGTATGTATATTTTGATGGAATATTTAGCTATAAAAAAGAAGGAAATCCTGCTATTTGCAACAACATAGAAAAACCTTGAGGGCATTATGCTAAGTGAAATAAATCAGAGAGAAAGACACTGTATGATCTCACTTCATGTGGAATCTAAAAAAATCAAACTCACAGAAACACAGAGTAGACTGATAGTTGCCAGGAGCAGGGAGGGGGCGGAGTTGGGGGGTTGGGTGAAGGTGGTCAAAGGTACAAACTTCCAATTATAAGTTCTAGGGATGTAATGTACAGCATGGGGACTATAATTAACAATGCTGTATTATATATATGAAAGTTGCAAAGACAATAGATCTTACAATACACACAAAAATTGTAACTATGTGAGGTGATGGAGGTGTTAACTAATCTTATTGTGGTGATCATTTTGCAATATATACATATATCAAATCATCACATTATACACCTTAAACTTACACAATGTTATATCAATTATATCTCAAAAAGCTGGGGTGGCAGGGAGAAGTGGGCTTGAGGAGAAGAATAGAGAAAGCAACTGACCACAGCCTGGCTTCAGAGGCCATTTCAAATTCTTTTTAGCACTCTCTCTATATATCTGGGGCTGAGTGCTATGTGACACACTCCATCTGTTACAACTAAGTGATAAGAAGATGAGAAAGATAAACTAGAAGCAGATTCTGGCAATAACTGTTTTAAAGCCACTAAATTTGCCAATAGTAAGTAATAATAATTGGAAAGACAAATGACACAGCAAATAATGTTTATCCTGCATTTTGAGAAGCTGAGGATTAGATGTTGGGACATTGATTTACATTTTGCAAATCTTGTGTTTACACACTGTCATTATGAAGACTCTTAAACCTTTTGAGAGTATGATCTACCACACACAAAAAATGATGGTCTCCACTAACAAAGGGGAAAGAGGCACTGAAACAATCATTTGGATAAAACTTGCCAAAGACCCATTCTATGTTGTACCCCTATGATTCTAGAGATACCAACCAACATTTCCTTACAAGTGAAATCAGATTAAAGAGCATTAAGGCAGCTCTTTTTAAGGGGAAATGAAACAAATGTACAATGTGAGGAGTGTCTATTATTCATTCATCCAACATTTACTGAACGCTATTATGTACCAAGCATTATTATGCTAGTTAGGCAAAGTAAAAAATATTTGAAATTAATAAAACAGCTTCTGCCTTCTAGGAGCTAACAATCTAAAAAGAAAGGTTGACACGAATACTTGTAGATATTATGGAAGAGTGGAGAGTATGCCAGGAAGGAGGGTAAGAAGAATCTTAACACTTTGCTTTGGATATTGAAATGTAAGATAGGAGCAAATGGATTTATGATGGGCTACAGTTTTCCAGAATGCTAATCTGGTAAATCTAGAGACAGGAGATGTTGCAGGTCTTTCCATGGTTAAACATTACATATTATAGTCCTACTGTAGAGATTCACTACAAACATTAGCATATAAGCAGCTCTAAGAAGTCCACTACTAAAAACAAAAACACAAAACTATTCAACTTGCATTTCCCGTTTTAATTAATCATGGATCCCTTTTTATAACATAGCACCTATAAACAATCTTGGGATTGTTGTTGTATGACCCACAATGGCACTAAGTAGCTGCCAGCACAGCAGAAAATGAACCCAAAGCAGGAGAATCCCTTTGTGCTTGGATTCTTCTACCTCGCTTTCATTAGTTGCATAACATTTCAATAGCCAGTTGACAAAAGTAAGCAAATAGATCTGTAATACAAGATCAAGCAAGAAGAGAAACACAAACCTACAATGACTCCTGAATTCTTATTTTGATCACAAATGTTGGTCTTCTGAAATGTTTAACTCTCCCCAGAGATAAAATTTAAGAGAGGTGTGGATGCTGGGGCAAGACAGGCCGTGGGTCTTGGCTCAATGGCCGTGCATGTAACTGTCAATTACTGGACCACTCCTGTAGTGTGATGGAGAAAAGCTATTTAAATGAAACTCCTCAAGAAATTGTAATAGCCAAGCCTATCTAACTGAAGACTCATTCGTACCATTTGGTCTTATTTTTCACATTGTGTCAAAGTGCCTGGACTCTAACACAACCACATTTCCTGTATCTTAGCTGGTAGAGAGTTTCATAGTGAACCTCTGCTGACTTCACGGACACTGATTTGAAATGTTCAGATACCACACCACAGTAATGAGGTCACAGATAAGTAAAACCTCATGACCATCAGAGAACAATTATTTATCCACAAAATTCTAATTTGAGCACTGCATCTCATTGTTTGCTCAATGAGCTAGTGAAACTATGAATTAGAGAGAAGTTTCTTTTAGAAAAGATCCTACAGAAAAAAACCAACTACTAAAATCAGATCCTTCACTGGTTTTAGGATAAATGATACCAGATGAAAGTTTCCCTTGATTTTTCCCTTCCTATGGCCCTTGTCTGGTCCCCTTCAATGATGCTGGAAAATAACTGTTTCTTACAACAAATATAGCCAAACTCACAATTTCCTGTGTACCTTATTGCTGCATATCCTATACTTGGCTGGTTTTATTCTCTCACGACATTCATTTGCATCTCCTTGTATGTGCATGAAAAATGCAAAACAATTTAATTAGTCTAAGATGAAACAAAGAAGCTCTCTCAAAATACATGTATATTGAAATGATTATTTTAAGACTCATGTCACAGATCCCTTTCCAGTGGCATGCTAGAGTTGACTAAAATACAAGGTGGTGTTTTTTTGTGGCGGGGTGGGGTGGAAATGGGTGCTGCACTGTCAGAAAACCTGCAAATGCCCAATTTCTATTTCTTATCAAAGTGTGTGACCTCAGATCACTTAACAGCTCATTCTCAAATGAAAGGGTAGGTATAACTAGCTAAATTTTCTGCTAGTTCTAAAGATTCTTTTTTTTTTTTTTTAAATAGTTCTAAAGATTCTTATTTTCCTTTGTTATTAGGTCACGTACCACGTCACCGTGGAGAGTAGTTCAAAAATGATTAATGGTTAAATTACAAAAAGCTATCAATTCCTCTAAATCATTCATATTCCCGTTTGCTAAGCTTCTTTGCAACTGTTAGCACACAACTATTATAGTTCTAACCTCTTACCATCTTTGCAGACTTGCCCCCAGGGGGGCAAATTAATTGCATGACTGAATGCAGTCATGCAGTATTAGACACATTTTTAGTACATTGAGTTATGCCTTTTAAGGTCCACAGTACAAACCTGTAACTGTCATTTAAAAGTGGCTCTTAAAATGCAGTCCAAGAAAGAATTCAAGGGACATCATCCCAGAAGCTGGCTGAAAAATGCAGATTCTTGGACTCCAGAATCCATTTTGACATGTACACTGGCAATTCTTACACCACCAAAGTTTAAAAACTACTGGCTGAAGGAAAGATTTCGATATTAACTAGAAATTATTTTTGAAAACTACTGAAAAAACAGGGCACAGCTCTATTAATTTGGGGGGGATTATTTATTAAATTCACCAAATCTGAGGTTTTAAAAGTTACATAAAATATTGCAGCTTAAGAATTTTCCAAATCTCTCCCTAGCTATCGTAAGCAGCATGAGACTGTAATTAAGTGCATTCTTTAAAAATACACTCAAATCCTTAAGCTAAATGCATTAAAAATGGAAATAAGCAATTCACATTTTTATTTCCTGGGATTAGGCCAAGATGGCTTTTATGTTTCTGAAGCAATCCACAAAGCCAAGATTGAGGTTTCAGAGGAAGGCACCAAGGCATCTGCAGCCGCAGGTATGTTCATAAAGGGGTCAGCAGCACTCAGTCACACTGCTTGCCCTTATCTGCCTTTGTCAGATTTATCCAGTTCAATCTTCACATTTCTAAACTTCCCACTAAAAAACCCCAAGTCCAGATGTGGTATAGCATTTTTTAAAAAAGAAATGTTAACATAGAGCAAAGTTTGAAAACTGATGGGAGAAGAGAAATCCATTTTGAAAAGGATTTGTCCCACCATCCCCATAAACAAGGAATGGAGTCCTTCTGAAAGTTACCTTTAGTAAGGAATTTATTCCATGAAGTATTTTGAAAATGGGACACAAGTTTGGCTAAATGACATCTTCTTAATTTTCCCATTTGTACCCCCATCATAACACTAAACAATGAAATATCATTAGGATGCTTTTATTTCTTCAAAAATCAAGGGATATAACTGACTTCATATCCAAGTGACTTTCCTCAAATGAATAGAAAATGCAATGGGATTCTTCTATTCTCTCTCCTGCAGCTCTGTTGTTACTGAAAAGGTCTCGGATTCCTTTTTTTAAAGCAGATCGACCATTCTTCTTTTTGCTGAGAGAACCCGACACAGGTAGGAGAGTATTTTTTTGATAGAATTCAGATAAATATGTATCAGCATCTCTCTAGCAACAAGTGTCCACTGTGGCCTAGAACAAGCATTCCTTCTAGCTAGTTTCTATGGCTTCAGAAGCTTCCCAGTTTCTTGTCGCGTATCCTGAGAAAGGGGAGTATTCCATAACTACAAAGGAAACTAATATCCTCCATGTAGTTTTTGACTTCTCCTTCAGCTCATTTTTAGTTGATGTGGATTTTTAAAAATTCAGGCTTCTACTTCTGGGGAGACTTAGAAAGATCATGAAAGTAAAATAAATGATACATCTTGATTTTCCCCCAGTTGTTGCCTTGCTTTCTCATCACTGTAGGACAAAAGATAGTTCCTTCAGGGCACCAGCATATCCAAGTAGTCTTCTGACTCAGCAACCCCCGTATTCTAGTGAATGCACCTGGATTTCTAGTTTTTCTCTTGATCTTTCTCACGCTTGCTGAAATGCCACAAAAATCAAGTGTTTGGCCTAGTACTTCTAAGACCCACTATACAATCTCATCAGAATCCAAAGATGGCATGGTACAGGCAAAGCCTGAGCACATCAGAAGGACAAGCAGAGGTCCTTTCAGCTTCAACAATGAACAAAGTACTCAAATTATTCCTCTCAATGTTCCCCCTCCCCCCGACAATTATTTATCAGCCTGGGAAGGAAAAGAGATTCTCAGTAAAGAGTTGTTGGCAAGTCGAAACAATGTGTTAAAAAGAAATAGGATGGAACAAGACTAACAAAATCAAGCAAAAGTGGATCTACTTTAACTAAACATCAGGCATTATTTTTATTTATGGAGAGAAAAAAAGTCAAAAGTTAGAATAATGAGAATTACGCATAGGTTTTACACAAATTGTTAAGGAAATACTGTCAACATCATTTTATCTGAGAATCATTTGCATACTGCTGTAACTTGTGCTAGAAATCAAAGGAACACTTTTGTGACAAAAAGGATGAAGATAATCATTCACTAGGAAATAATCTATTTTGGGATTATTTGGGGAGAAAAAGTCCATCAACAGAATATATCCTCCTAGGATTTCACCATGATCATTCCAACCCCATGTTTATTAGATGAAATTGTCACTTATCACTCAGAACAGGCAACAGAGAGCCCTCTCTTGGAAAGGATACATGTCAAAAAAAATGAAAGATGAAAAAAACGACAGGTTCTACTTCCTCAAGAAACAGAGACAGGACTATAAACGTGAACAGAAAGGTCATTGTCAAAAGCTGATAGCCAATAAAAGATGATGACAGTTAAAAGAGAACGATTTCTCTTTTGGAATTCAACTGCATAAAAATGACGTAAAACCTTTGAACTAGTAAAGGACACACCACTATTTCAATGATCGGAGTTTTCACAACTGCCTCAATAAACAATGAAAATAAAAGGCTAATCCAAAACCAGTTCCATAATCCGCCACACATCTAAATCTAGTCCTTGTGAGTTTACTCTTTCTGGCAGGTATTTGCCCACATGATTCAAGGTGGCTACTCTTCTGGTGAGAGAGTGGTATCAAAGAGATAGAAATCAGTCTCAGCCTTCATTACACCAAATTGACAAATCTTACTGTTTAGGGCAAATAATGAATCCATTGACAAATGGGATACATATGGGAACATTAAGAAAAACGATCTTAATCTCAAGATTACACTGTTGGAGAATATCATTTGTCCAGCCTAAAGCCACCCAGTGATCTAAAGGACCTAAGAGGCATGATATTCCCCTGAAATATACTCCCTCCCTCCCCTTTGCTTACAAGAATTCTATAGTATTTTACTAATTTAACTAATATGCCCAGTTTCTTAAAATGTAAAAAAACCCTGCAAGATGGGATATTAAGCTTGAGTTTCGATTGGTTTCAAACCTTGTGACTAGGTTTTGGATGAGGCAGACCATAGAGTATGATGGCAGAGAGATTAAGAAAGAGGAGACTGAGGGCGCACCTGGGTGGCTCAGTTGGTTGGGCGACTGCCTTCGGCTCAGGTCATGATCCTGGAGTCCCGGGATCGAGTCCCGCATCGGGCTCCCTGCTCGGCAGGGAGTCTGCTTCTCCCTCTGACCCTTCTCCCTCTCATGCTCTCTGTCTCTCATTCTCTCTGTCTCTCAAATAAATAAACAAAATCTTTTGAAAAAAAAAAAAAAAAGAAAGAGGAGACTGAACAAACTGTTTCTCTTCCCAACTCCTTCTAGGGTTCATCCCAAAAAATGTAATAAAGGTGAAGGGTTTAAAGGATCATTACCTCATCAGCAATCTGTAAAAGGGAAATAAGAACTTCCTGATAAGGAAAGCTGCTAAACATTGGAAAAGACTGAATCCCTTTCCTAAATATTCTTGTTAAGTATGAACTTTTATCTGAATGACTTGTAATCCCTTCTATTAATCACAGAATCAAAATATACATAAAGACAATTTAAGACCAGACAGTATATTCTGGATTTTGTGTAGCTCTTGAATTTAGCAGTGACTGCAGGTAATTACCTTAACAATTCCATCTATTAAATGATATCCTGCTTTAAAGGTATTTGTGGAGGTAAAAAAGGTTTAAAGAATTGCATATGAAAATACTATGTAACGTTACATTAAATGCCTCTTTTTCTCAACAGGATTTGTCTTCAGCATTGGGAGAGTTTCAAATCCCCTAGACTAAATTAAGAGATCTCGAGCATGTTCTCCACTTTCATCTATGCTTTTCTTCATAAAAAGTTACAATTGCATTCTGCTATACCCTTGATATTTTAAAAAGCCTCTGCTAAAGTGTAAAAAGATAAGGGTATGTGATTTTCAAATATTATGAAACTAAAAGTCCATCAATTTTACTATAATTTTATAAATTTATTTTGCCCTCTCTTAATCTAAATGTATTTTAACCTTCCTTTCTACCCAAAAGCACTACAAGGCACAGCAGTGATCTATGAAAGGTGAGTGAGTGAGTCTGGTCATAGGGTCATGTCCTCAGTGAAGACACGTGAGGTCATGTTGGACTGAGAGTGGACAGTGAACAGTGTTGGGTTTTTCCTTATCCTGGGTAATTCAGGGGGAATGCACAATGAGCAAAGTCATCTTAAATGTTTGCTTTCCATTTAGCCTCTAAACAAAATGGAGTTTATATGTGTAAGAATAGCAGAGGAGAACAAAGAGATCCCCTTTGAACCCCCAATTTGTTGTGGGACTTTTGTAAGCATGGCGTCAAGCTGCTAAAGACTAGACATTTCAGAGTATGTGATGCCCCCCAAACTTACAACTCCCTAACTAACAGCTTCAACTTAGTGCCATCCACAAACCTAGTGAGAAAGGAAAAAAGTGTTGGGAGTAAAGAAACCAGTATTAAAGATTTTTGCTTTTAAACAGCTTTTAAGGTGCCTGCCTATTTGCCCCAGATACCGTCATTTCTATTATCTAGGCAGAAATGGGAATATGTTGGTGTGGCCAACAAAATCTAAGAACATAGAGTAAGAAGACAATGCAGGTTATGTAACAGGTAATTACAGTTAGCTTTAACAAATATGAACTTCAAGTGGTGTATTTTTCCAATGCTTAAAAAGCAAGGCCTTTAAAATTCCATTACCCTTAAGATGGTTTTAAATGATTTTAAATGTGATTATTTCCTAAACCACACAAGAGTAAAATAGAGCATTTATTGATGGAATAACAAAAGTGCTTTTCTTAAATATTCTTCAAAATACATTTGTACAACTTACAATAATATATCCAAAATAACTGTATATACAAAACATTACCTAGTTTTAATGTATGTGCTTTTTTCCCCAAAAATTACAAAGTAACTTCTTTTTTATTTTTTTTTTGGCAAAGTTCAACCTTAACAGAGGTGACAATTTTAAAGGTTGGTTTAAGAAAATAGAACCTGAGGGAAATTGACACGCAAGAGTCAATGACAAGCAAGAGATCTGGAGGAATATTTTTAGTTTGTTAAATAAAAATGTGTTTTAGAGTGATATTTTTCACATTACAAAAATAAACCAAAATGAAGAAAAGGTCACTGTAAAATGATGGAAAAAGGATCTGTAGACTTGCTCTTAGTATTTCAAATAGCCAACAATGCATGTCAAAAAATGAATGCAAGATCACAACAGTCTTGTATTTACTTTGTATTTGGAGAAGATAGTGAAATAAGTGGCCACATTCTGTTTTCTTTTAATTGCTATTAATATGGTTGATCTGACTGGCTCTTCGATGAATTTCATCCAAGAAGTTCTCCAGTTGTTCTATTAGCATTCGTTTTTTAAACCTGTATAAAAAAAAATAAGTAATAGCACTCTCAATTTCTTTTTAATGGATACAGATCAGTATAATTTTGTTTCATTTTGTTTTTCAAAGACAGAAACTGCCTTGGGAAGATTTTTCAAAGGAAAATGAAAATGCAAAAACAACTTTATGATATATAAAATTCACTGGAAAATAAGCAAATTATTTTATCAATGCAGAATTACAGTTTGTTCCTAAAACAAAGAATCCAGGCCCAGGTACAACAGAAGCAAGTTATCTGTTCTACATCCAAAAAGAAAAACAAAAAACCCCTAACATTTACAATGGTTACAAATATTCCAACAAAATTTGGACTCCCAAAGCAATGACTCCAATAGCTTCTGATGCTTTTTAAAAGTTGAATGTTGAAAGGAATGTGAAAAAAGTATGAATATAATCCCTACAAAACAGAAGAAGAAATGAATAGTTGGATGGTAGCATTAAAAAACCCTTGAGTTCTACTATTATAATTTGAAAGCTAGCAAATCAAGGATAATTAGATATCTGTGATATAGGTTATAGCAAACATTTAAAGTTCAAGTGGTGACTTGAAATTTTTTTCACTAATACGTAGAATAAAATTGCATTCATCTACATAAATACTCATACTGCTGATGCTTTTTAGAATATCCAAAAATGCTGTCCAATCTATACCCACTTCCCCTCTACTTGTAAATTCATATGAATAACCACCATAATATTACACATCTCTCTAAAAGGTGGCAGAAGTAGAGGGCAGGCACCAGGAATATAGCTAAATCCATGATGAAGTTTGAGTTGATAGAATGTTACATAAAGAAAAGAATCAGTTAAATACTCAAAATAAATAACATGAAAAGTTATGGCCTTATCTTGAAACTTCAAAGTGGCCTATGCTCTAGCCACTCCAAAAAAAAGGAAAAAAATTAACTGCTCTATCTAAAAATACCTTTATGCGTAGCATGGAAGAAACTGGGGGACTATTAGAGGGTCGGTATATTTAGAAGGTCAGGTAACACTAAGTTTTCTTAGAATACTAAAGAAGTCTTAAAGGAAAAATAAATGTTTCTGTACTCCCTAAACTCATACAACTATGCTTTCCAGTTAATTGCACTTCATAGTTACCCTTCATAATCTTGATCCACATTCTTTGTATTAAAGTACATAATCCTGGGCTACTGAAGCAATCAGAATAAGGCCCATTTGTCCAACTCTGCTCCCCTTAATTACATGTTTTCCTACGTACAAATGAACTGCATCCAAATATTGTCTTTCAAGGTTATTTCTAATCAATGATTAATATTAACTATAGTCCAAATATACAAAGGAGAAAAATTAAAGGCTATTAAATATAAAGACCCCCAAAAAGCCACAGAGTAGGATAAATGAGAATTATGCAAGTATCTGTAATCTGTAGGGAGAAAAGGTCCATAATTGGTGAAGAATCTGTATGGCTGTTTTTTGAGTGAATTCTTTCAATAAACTAAAAAAAAAGAAGAAGAACTTATACACACACACATGGGTGTGTCATATATATGCATGATACCATAAGTACAAAATAGAGATTATTAAAATACTGACTGTAATCTGGGGACTCATTTCATAATCATTTCAAAATGTGCAACAGATTATTTACCTTGATGCTTCTTTAATAACATTTTGTAAAAATATTAGTCTTGTTTGTAAACTGCCTTGCACATGCTTCAGTAACGTGAAGATTCTTTCATATTCTTAAAACAAGAGAAGCAAAAAGAAAAAATTAAGTGGCTTTTCTACACACTCTTATTCAATATTTTTCTACTGCAGTTTACTATATCAAGATATACTACAGAAACCAAGACATTCTTTGTAAAATCTTCACCACTAAGAATTTTATAATACATATATTTCATCATATATCAGCAAAGATAAAATAACTTATAAAACTGCATTCTTGGTAAAAGTTCCCATGAAGATATCAAACATAAAGCTTAGAAAAATAAGTGAAGAGCTTTCTGATAGTGCCACTGAAAAAGAAGCAAGGCGCCTCCATCCTTATAATTCAAATTCTAAACTACAGTTCCCATGGTAGGGAGGGGCAGATGGGGGAGGGAGTAGATGGGTACAAGTGCTATTTCAGTTTCAAGTTTTCACCTAAAACCCTGCCAAGGACTATAAGCCCCTAAATGGCAAGGGCTGTCTTACCCACTTCTGAACCACCCGTGGGTCACTGTATCATCACAGCAGGTGATTTGTCAACATCTTTTGAATGAATGCCAATAATATTGACATTTTATCCCACAAAGTTCTTTAGTATTCACGTAACAGACAGCTTTTATAACTTCTGTTTTTTGGCCTAAACACATCCCTGGTCACTATCATAGTTTAAACCTTAAAGGCAGTGGTAGACACTATGCCAGGAACTTCACAGATATGAAGTCATCTAATATTCACTCCATCTTTTTGGATTTGCTGCTACATTCAATTGCAGTTGCTATGTAGAAAAATACTCAGGACTCCAGGTTCCTGTCATGGTAGGAACTATGTGCAATTTATCTATGTGTTCTTTAAGCTCTGCTCTCAGTCCCTCCTGCTTACCATAACTACACTATAATACTCTGGATGTAGTAGATACTTAGTATTTGTAGGCTGAATAAAGAACCAAATCTTATATAGCTCATACATTGTTCAGCACTGATCTAGAATCAGATCTATGTTTTTAGTTAATTTGACTCTTCTTTGAGCACACACAGAAGTCAAATACGAGGTGTGCCTCTAATTATACTTACTTCTTCCTGGCTTTCGGATCTCTTTCATTATTTGTGCTTTTAGTTCAGTGTTGACCTCTTCATGGCTTCTGCAATGCATCAATTTCTTTCCTTTGTTGAGTGAAGATGCTGGTATATTCTCTTCAGGACACTGTTCTTTATCTCTTGGTTCCTCATGATTTTCTAAAAATCCACCAACAGTGAGGTCATTAGTTCCTAAATGGTCATGACCAAGAGCCTCTGTATGATTGGTTGGTCGTTCCAGTAAATTGGCTGGAGAAGAAGGTGAAAATTCAGCATCCATAGCATTTGGTGTAATATCTGATGAAAGTTGGTCTGCAACGTGATTTTCAACCACATCATCTATTGTCGAATCATTAGTGGCTTCTGAAACTAAAAACAAAGATAAGAAAAAAAATGACGTGAGCCAGTTTCAAAGAACACAGTAAAAAAAAAAAGCTACAAATAATATTACAGCAAATCACAACAAATCTCCTTGACAGATGCAAATTAACAAATAATATGATATGATCTTAAGCTTTGCCAAAGAGATGGTGGATTTCAGTGTGAAACATTTATAGCATTTACAAAATCTGTACAACTTTTGCCCTTGAGAAAAAAAATAAAAGATACTTGCAAGCAACTTTTAGTTCTCTGCTTTATTTTATGGCGATTTTACTGAACAAGTAGATTTCTAATACTTTAGGGAAATATACAGAGAGCCTTAGCTCATTCCAACCAACCTCTGCCTTATACACGTACTATCATTTAGAGGCAAAAGTAAACACAGGAAGTCCAAACTGCTCAATACTCTGCAGGGAACACACCATCAAACTGGTCACTTTATAGCACACTCTTTTCTTATAACCACCCAGCCAGTCTTTGTTACTTGAGCAACACAGAACAGTCTGGTGCCCACAGCAGCTCATCAGATTACTAGACTTAAAAAAAAAAAAGCTTGCAAACTCTGGCCCCCCACAGAAAGCAGCTAAATTGGAAGTTCCCAGACTGGTCACCAAACCTCCAGGACACCAGCTAAAGTCATCTCTACTTCCCTCATTTACTGTCCAAAAGGTAAACACATTCCCACAAAAATCCCTTAGACTTCTGACTCCCTCCCTAAATCCCCTTCCATGATTTGCAAATTTTCCTGAATATTCTCTACAACAACTCCTGCTTTAACTGAAACCCAGCTCTCTGGCCAAGAAACTGCTCCTCTTTTCAGACTTGAAGTGAAATTACATTCTCTCAAACACTCTCCACAGACTTAAAATAAGGATGTGGAGTCACTGACTCCTTCACCTTCTAGTGCCACTTTAAGATATTCTCCATGCACTCCTGTAACACTCTTGCTCTTCTGAGGCTCAACTATGCCACTCTGCTCATTCTCTCTCTCCTTATCACTAGCTTTATTGATCTCCAAGGTACACCTCTGTGGTCACACCTGGTTCACAGATTTCCTTATACCCCCATGTCCCTTGGGCATTGTCCTAGTCATTACTACTCAAATACAAGCAGTATTAGCACCATCAGAGAGTTTGCTAGAAATGATGATCTTGAGCCCTCCTCCAAACAATGAATTAGAATCTGCAGTTTAACTAGATCCTCTGGTGATTCAATTACACACTAAAGTTTGAGAAGTACTGTAGTATGTGACACTTCAATGTCTATGCAGATCACCTGCCAAGAACATGGCCTCTCAATTCTTTAATTTCTCATCTTGTTTGCCTCGCAAATCAAACACAAACCCATGGATAGAGGAGTATAAGCCTTATCTTTGCAGGACTCCCGCTGTTTTTCTTAACTCAGCCAGACTCTTATTCCAGCAACTCCTCCATTTTCTCCCTCCTATTCATCAGATCCTACCTTCTAGATGCCTCTTTTATCTATCCAACTTACATCCCATAATGTATTACTTTTTAACAGTGTCCTAAATTCTCTTTATATTGTCCTCCCATGATACCTGCCAGGCAAAACTCCAAATGTGACGACTCTCTATCTGCTTGCTCTAGACACCTGCATTTGCAATGATGAGCACTACTGGAGAAATATGATCCAGCTCTGCAGAGTTATCACCATCACCAGCCAAGTATTCCTGGATCTTAGCACTACCTAGCAATCTTATTACAACCTTCTCTCCCTCTCCCACAAAAGACCATTCTAACCTTCTCCACTCTCTTAACATCTCTGACTTTCCCAAATCTCTCCTTCCCTCTCGGTAGTGTATGTCGCCTACTTCACAGGGGAAAGAAAAGCAGAGCCGTGAAACAGGAACTTCTCTACTTCCCACTGTTAAACTTGTGCCCACATCCATTCTGCTTCAGTGGAAGCCGCACTCTTTCATCTGGGCTCTGGACCATTCCCTTCTGCCTTCCCAGTGATTTTGTGCTGATTATGCTTTCTCTCGTCTTCATTTTCAACCTCTATCTATTGGTTCCATCACACCAGCATTTAAACATGCTCAACTCTGTCATCTTAAAGACAAAGCAAAGTCACCATCTTTAACCCCATGACTTCTTCCAGCTATCATTCTCTTTTCCCATCTCCCCAAGGCAGCTAAACTTCTTTGTTTTTTACAATTATATATACATACACAAAAATTTTATTTTATTTATCTTATTACGTTATGTTAGTCACCATACAGTACATCATTAGTTTTTGATGCAGTGTTCCATGATTCACTATTTGCGTATGACACCCAGTGCTCATTAAAACTCGTGCCCTCCTTAATATCCATTACCAGGCTAACCCATCCCCCCACCCCCCTCCCCTCTGAAACCCTCAGATTGTTTCCCGGAATCCATAGTCTCTCATGGTTCGTCTCCCTTGCTGATTCCCCCCACCTTCAGTTTTACCCTTCCTTCCCCTAATGTCCTCCGTGCTATTCCTTATGTTTCACATATAAGTGAAACCATATGATAACTGTCTTTCTCTGCTTGACTTATCTCACTTAGCATAATCCTCTCCAGTTCCATCCATGTCAATGCAAATGATGGGTATTCATCCTTTCTGATGGCTGAGTAATATTCCATTGTATATACGGACCACATCTTTATCCATTCATCTGTTGAAGGGCATCTCGGCTCCTTCCACAGTTTGGCTATTGTGGACATTGCTGCTATAAACATTGGGGTGCATATGGCCCTTCTATTCACTACATCTGTATCTTTGGGGTAAATACCTAGTAGTGCAATTGCTGGGTCATAGGGTAGCTCTATTTTTAACTTTTTGAGGAACCTCCACACTGTTTTCCAAAGTGGCTGTACCAACTTGCATTCCCACCAACAATGTAAGAGGGTTCCCCTTTCTCCACATCCTCTCCCACATTTGTTGTTTCCTGCCTTGTTAATTTTTGCCATTCTAACTGGTGTAAGGTGGTATCTCAATGTGGTTTTGATTTGAATTTCCCTAATAGTTAATGATGTTGAACATTTTTTCATTTGTCTGTTAGCTATTTGTATGTCTTCTTTGGAGAAGTGTCTGTTCATGTCTTCTGCCCATTTTTTGACTGGGTTATTTGTGTTCTGGGTGTTGAGTCTGAGGAGTTCTTTATAGATCTTGGATACCAGCCCTTTATCTGTAATGTCATTTTTGCAAATATCTTCTCCCATTCTGTGGGTTGCCTCTTAGTTTTGTTGACTGTTTCCTTTGCTGTGCAGAAGCTTTTTATCTTGAAGTCCCAAAAGCTCATTTTCGCTTTTGTTTCCCTTGCCTTTGGAGACATGTCATGTCCTGTCTCACATTGAGGTCTTTCAACCATTTGGAGTCTATTTTTGTGTGTGGTGTAAGGAAATGGTCCAGTTTCATTCTTCTGCATGTGGCTATCCAATTTTCCCCACAGCTGAACTTCTTAAACTGGTAATTTACATTCATTGTCTCCATTTTCTCATCTCTCACTCCTCAACCCACTTCTTTATAGTGTTCTGTCCCCTTGACTCCACCAGAATTGGCTCTTGCTAAGGTAGCCAAAGACCAATAGAACTTTCCAATCCTCTTGACCGATCTGTTTAAGTATCTGAGACTACCAACCACTCAATTCTCTTTCCCTTTAGCTCTCATGACGCCAAATTCTTCTCATCTCCTATTTCTTGGATTCTTCTTTCTCAAGTCTCCTTTTTTGAACCTTGTTTCTCTCCTTAACCTTGGCACTTTCAAAGTTCTGTTCTAGGCTGCTGCTTCTCATTGTTTCCCTTGGTGTGATTTAATTCACTCCAATGGAGGTTAAGACTGCCTCCTACACCTCCCTCTTTTTCCCCCGTCTCTTCTTCGGCGGTCTAAACTAAAATACCCATCTTCTACCCCAGGATCTCCACGTGGCTATTTAATGGGTGCTTCTAAACTCACTCATTCTCTCTTCTTCCACTCCACCCTGTCACCCTTGTCTACCCAGCATCTCGCAACTCCTCTCTTGCCCTGGCTCCAATATCCAGTCCATCATCACCATGTCTTTGCTGGTATTTCCAAGTATTTCTCAAATACATGTTCTCCAAACTCCACTGCCAGGTCATTAGCTCTTCCCTGGGTTTCCTAACTAGTTTCTGTGCATCCATAATAATTACTTAACAACATCAAATATCCTATCAATGTCCACAATCTAATTAATCTTACACATTTTCTATTTGTAGGGAAAGTTCGATTTTATTTGTTTCAGGGTCCAAATCAGGCCCCGTACAATGTAATTGGTTTATATGTCTTTTAACTACCTTTTTAACCTATAAAATCCTTCTGTAACCTCTCTTTTTTTCTATGCATTTTTTTCTGGCAACATACTGACCCCATTTTCTTTGTCCTACAGTTCCCCACAATCCAGATTATGCCAATTGTATCCCTGTTTTGTCATTTAATATGTTTCTCTATCCCTTGTATTTCCTATAAATTGGTAGTTTGATCTAGAGGCTTGATCAGATTAAAGTTCAATTTCTTTCTTTCTTTTTCTTTTGGCAAGACACTATATAATTCTATCAGGAAGTATAGAATATTTGGTTTCTCTCCAGTTAAGATGTTATAAACTACAAATAATCACTACCTATAATTAATGCAATCATTAATTCACTAAGGTTCCCCTAAATCCATTCTTGTTCTTCCCTAACAATATTCCACACAATACAGTTGGCCTGGTCTTTATAAAATGCTAATCAGATCAGGTCACTCGCTCTTCAAAACCTTTCAAAGATTCTCATTGTCCTTAAAGTCTAGAATCTTTACAATGGCCTCCAGGGCCCTCCATGATCTGGCCTCAGCCTATCTTTCATTTCTTACCTTATCTTATTCCCAACACCTTTGCTATACTAGGCTTCTTTCAGTTCCTTTAATCCCTTCTCTTTAGTGTATATGTTTGCACATATTCTTCTTTACCACCACTGTAGCATATAGTAGCATGCAGCAAACTGCTTAGCACTACTACTAAATGCACAGCTTTAGTGAAACAACTCCCATTCACCCTTCAAATGTTGGCTTAAACATAACTTCCTCAGTAAAGGGTCTTGACCTCACAAACTAAATAAGTTAAATCCTCTTACCAAATGCTTCCAAAACATACTTGACTTCCCTTTTATAACATTCATCACACTTCTAATGAAACATTCAATGACTATCTTTCCTTACTCATTATAAATGAAGGCAGAGATCACTATTGTCTCATTCACTGCTATACTTCAACGCCTAGCACTGTTTACAATAGCATACATATTTAACAATTAGTTGTTGAATTAACCTGAAATTGAAAACCATCGTCTGTGGATACTGATAATGCCCCTTTAATAACTGTTATTTTGAAATACTTAAGACTTGTAAATGGTATTTAGATCATGCTAGCTATAATAAAACATAATAAATATATGAAATGTCCAACAAGTGTTCATTAAAAAGACATATAAAATGATTACATGCTAATTAGCAGAAACAAGTATCTTCTCTAGACACTCTTGGGCTTTATCAATCAGTATTTTCTATAATCTATTAAAAAATCTCTTCCCCCATAAAGAAACAAAAAGCAGCAAATAATGTTTTTTTTTTAAAAAAACTCTTACTTTTATGAAGAGGAAGGGGTTTAATAAGATCTGGCTGTGCTTGAGTCATAGGTACAGGTGGTCCTTTTCCTCCAATATGATTGTTCACAACCGGATTCTGTTGTCTGCCTCTTAGTAGTGGAGACATACAGCGACGTCTTTTAGGGATCCCTTGCATATTTGGTTCTCCAGGTCGTTTATGTTTATTTTGAGGTCCAGCCACAAATTCATCTGCTTCATCTATCATCATACCCTATAACAAAAAAGAATATAATTTCCCTGGATTTACATACAGTCTTTAAACGGCACAACTAATTCCAATCCCCATTAGAGCAACTATTTTATAAGTATGTTGACATTTATTAGTCTACCAAGAAAAGTAGCTTACTTTAGTTAAATTAAGAACTGTTAAATCTACAAATGAATTATACAATGGAACATTTCAAGTTTACCTTTTTATCTAGCTTAAAAGGGTTGCCAAATGTATGCAACCTTCGAGGCTGATCAGGATCAAGTTCTCTTAGTGGAGAAGGTACTTGCTTGAGGTATTCCTGGTAATTCCCCATTTGTGCTATAGGAACACTGTGCACTTGATCTTTTCAAATAGAAGAAAGTAACAACAAAAGTTAGCCTCACTAAAACAACACTGTTTAATTATCAAGTAATGTCTTCTTACATATGAACACTACCTGGTGTTATTCTAGGAAGTCTTCCCTTACGATATGTGCTAAATTAGTGAATGTTGTCACTATAAATATTGTGACAAAAATGAAGTCTTTTTGAGATTTTTAAAATAAAATTTAAGGGTGCCTGGGTGGCTCAGATGGTTAAGCGTCTGCCTTCGGCTAAGGTCATAATCCCAGGGTCCTAGGATCGAGTCCCACATCGGGCTCCCTGCTCCTTGGGAGCCTGCTTCTCCCTCTGCCTCTCTCTCTCTGTCTGTCTCTCATGAATAAATAAATTAAAAAAATCTTTAAAAAAAAAAAAAGTAAAAATTTGAAAGAATTGATTTTATCTTCTAAACAAAGCAAAAATATTGCAGTTTATTTGAGTGTGCAAAATAAGCAATATGTGTTAACATTACCATGAAAAGGAATGTCTCTTCTACTCTATTCCAATTAAGCAGAATTTAATTATAGCAAAATTTACAGAAAAGATATATCACACAGATAATCCTCTTTATATAAAGCTATGGTTGGAATGCTTACATCAGAGATGGCCAAGAGTTAAATTCTCATCTGACTTGATATGTAGTGTATGCCACGGATACAGCTGAAGGAACAGGACATGTACTGACCAACCAAGTTAAAACACCAGATACCAGGTTATCACAAGAAAATGATTTTGTGTGTGTGTGAATGCATGACCAAAACCTTTAAAAAAGAAACTAAGCTGCTAACAAAGATTGTCACCTCTGGGGAATAGAATTTGGGACAACAGTGATGATAGAAAAAAAGTGTCGAGAATGGAGGATGACTCACTTCTTACTTCATTTGTTTGAATTTACAAAGAAAATATAATACTACTATAGTAATTCTTTAAATGCTACATTATCATATCATGCTTTTTTAATATAAAGAAAGAAATTCACCAAAGAAATACCATTATTTAACACCATGATCTAACCTTCATCCTGTCCTTTAAGAAATCTGCGGGTGCTCTTCAAAAGATTAGATCTCATTCGTGTTAAGTGATCCAAAAGATTCCGCCTTGGTATGTCATACGCATTTCTAAATGTCTGTGGCTTCAAATCCTGTTGAAAAACATTCAAAGACAAAATTTATTTTTATTTTTTAAAATTTTTTTTTTATTTAAAGATTTTTTTTTTTAATTTATTTATTTGACAGAAAGAGACACAGCAAGAGGGGGAACGCAAGCAGGGGGAGTGGGAGAGGGAGAAGCAGGCTTCCCACCGAGCAGGGAGCCCAATGCGGGGCTCGATCCCAGGACCCTGGGACTATGACCTGAGCCAAAGGCAGACGCTCAACTGACTGAGCCACCCAGGCGCCCCCAAAATTTATTTTTAAATATAGAATTAAAAGAGACTAAAATCTCTAGCCTGAAGTACAGGTTTGGAAATAAGATATACAAGTCTCATTAGCTTTAAAAATAGAATAAAGAATTATGATGCAGTCTTAATGTACTGTTTTGGGAACCTGAAGATTAAAATTGAGTTCAACCAAATAAATTCACATCTTTCAAGATGTTATTATATATTCTGGCCAAGGGAAGTAAATATCTTATAAAACGAATTTCCAAATTTTAAAGACTCTGAAGGTTTAAAGAAGAAACATAGCTTTGATATATAATTCACATACAATAAATTAACCCATTTAAGGTATACAGTTTGATGGAGTGTCAGTAAATTTACAGTTGTGAAACCATCACCACAATCCAGTTTAAAAACACTTCGATCATCCCAGAAAAGTTCTTTGTGCCCATTTGTAGTCAATCCATTTTCCTATCCCCAGGCATCCACTGATCTGCTTCCTGTCGCCCTACATTCCATTTTATAAATGGAATTTTGCTATATGAAATCTTTTCTGACTTTTTTCACTAAGGATGATGTTTTGAGATTCATCCATGTTTTTAACGTATCAGTAGTCTATTCTTTTTTTACTGCAGAGTAGTATTCCTTCTATGGAATATTTTTACCCATTTTACAGTTGATGAACAGTAGTTTTCAGCTTTTGGCGATTATGAATAAGGCTGCTATGAACATTTGCATACAAATCCATTATATGGACATATATCTTCATTTCTCTCATGTAGATAATAAATACATGGTTATATAGTAAGTGGAGCCATTCTAGTGGGTGGGAAGTGGGATCACATTATAGTTTTAATTTGCATTTCCCTAACGGCCATTAAGGTACAGCATCTTTTTACGTGTGTTCGTTCGAATTTGTGTATCTTATTTGGTGAAGTATCTGTTCAAAGATTTTGCCCATTTTTTACTAGATGTTTATTTTTTTATCACTGAGCTGTAGTTCTTTATAAATTTTGATACAAATGCTGTAGCTTTTGATACAGGCTGTAGCTTGCCTGTTCATTTTACAAAGTTTCTTTTGTAGACAAAAATTTAAATTTTAATGAATTTTAATTTATCAAGTTTTGTGTGTGTGCTTTTTGTGTTATATTTGAAAAATCTCCGATGACCCCTGACCCAATGTCATAAAGACTTTCTCCTGTTTTCTTCTAGTAGTTTATAGTTTTAGGTTTTACATTTAAGACCATGAGTGCTTCAAGTAATGTGAGATAACGGTCAAGTTTATTACTTTGAATATGGGTGTCCAACTGTTCCATCACTATTTCTAAAGAGATGTCTTCTTATCCACTGAATTATTTTGGCACCTCTGTTAAAAATTAGTCAATCAGAGAAAGACATATATCATGATCTCACTGATATGAGGAATTCTTAATCTCAGGAAACAAACTGAGGGTTGCTGGAGTGGTGGGGGGTGGGAGGGATGGGGTGGCTGGGTGATGGACATTGGGGAGGGTATGTGCTATGGTGAGCGCTGTGAATTGTGTAAGACTGATGAATCACAGACCTGTACCTCTGAAACTAATAATACATTATATGTTAAAAAAAAAAAAAAAAGAAGATAGTAGGAAGGGAAAAATGAGGGGGGAATCGGAAGGGGAGACAAACCATGAGAGACTATGGACTCTGAGAAACAAACTGAGGGTTCTAGGGGCAAGGGGGTAGGGGGATGGGTTAGTGAAGGGTATTAAAGAGGGCACGTACTGAATGGAGCACTGGGTGTTATAAGCAAACAATGAATCATGGAACACTACATCAAAAACTAATGATGTAATGTATGGTGATTAACATAACGTAATAAAAAAAATTAATTGACTGCATGTGTGAGGGCCTACTTCTATACTCTCTTCTGTTCTACTGATCTATATGCTTACCCATACGCCAACAACACAACATGCTGATGATCACTACAACTTTACAGTAACTTTAACTTTACAGTAACTTTCAAAATTAGATAGTACAAGTATTCTAACTTTATTATTTTGTAAAATTGTTTTATCTATTCTAGGACACTGAAATTTCCATATAAATTTTAGATCAGCTTGTGTCTACAAAAAAGGCTACTAGGATGAAGATCTTTTTAATAATGAATATTCATAAAGCATTTTAGGATCATGCTATGTACCCAAGGTCATCAGTATAAATACCAAACTGCAGTGAACTCTAAGACTAGCTATGTAACTTCAGGCAATCTTTAAGCCTCTGTTTTCTTTCTTGCCTTTTTTTTTTTTAAAGTAATCTCTACACCCAAAATGGGGCTCAAACTCATGACCCCCAAGATCCAGAGTCACATGCTCTACCAACTGAGTGAGCCAGGCACCCCCATCTGTTTTCTCATCTATAAAATGAATGGGTTGGTTTACTCATCAGTCCACCTATTCATCCATTCAGTATGCACAATGTTTGTTTTAATTCTAAAATTCAATGATTCAATAATAGTATTAATGATCATTATTCTTCAGAGGCATACAAGTACTTCTGAAGTTTGGGCAAACTAAGTAACAGTTAATGGAAAATCTGATTTATTTAACAATACAATAGAATATAACTAGAACAGTACTAAATTCACATAACTATTACCTTATTGAGCAAAGCAACTTGGAACCCAGTGTATTCTTTCATATTAAGGTCTAGCAGTCTGTGAGGAACATCCTCTGAAATTCCCTGGAGCAAGTGTTGAAAATCTTTCCTATAAGCCATTGATAAACCATGTGATCGGCTTCGGACTTTAATTCCAGTTTCCTGTACTACTTTTTTGCCTACAGATCCGATGACTCGATCAGATTCTATTTTAGCCTAAAGTAAAAATAAATAAGATTTAGTCTTGACATAATCTAAACTAGTAAATTAAATACTAATAGTTTTGGTCTTCTATAAATTAAGTATGTGTGCAATTATAAACTCAAGTAGCATATAGGTTATGTCAAGTTCTTGGTAAACTGAAGATAGTTTAAATAAAAATGTCTTACAGTTTTAAATCATTACAATTACAACCTTTTGGAGCAGGGCAAACAAAAACAACTTCAATTTATTTTTATGTACTAATACCCACTACACTTAAACCATGAAATTTAAGTGCATCCTAAATAAAAATATGGATTTCCAATTCAGAGGTCATATAAAATTAGAAAAAAAAAATCTCATCAGTATTTATCTAAAGACACTATTATTACCACATAACTAAATGTTCATAGGTATAACAAATAATGATGTATTTTTTCACTGGAAAACAAGTAGCAATATTTTGACTCTATCCAACCTACATCTCAATGAGCAGTTAAAGTACAAATGGCAGAAGTACTGGAAAAATAATGTATTTTATATGGTATTAATATCTTGGCAGTCTAACTGTATACTGCTTGACCACCAGAGTATCTATTAATGTGATTTATGCTCAAAATGACAAAATTCAGTGTTTTTTACTAATATTTCAAAAAAAACTCCCGTTTTTAAAAGAGAAAAACTACAGGTTTTAAAACATAAAGCAAAAGAAACTGATTTTTGTCTAAGAAAAACAACTTTCTAACATAAATTTCTCAAAAGAAAACATGAATGTTCACAGGCAGAAAGTCTAGGACCATAATAATGAAGCCATTTCCATAAACTAGGAATTATTATTTCAAATTAACATTCCGAAACACAGCATACCATGTACTTGAGACTGAATTATGCTAATATATATGTGGCTTTAAAACGTAATGTATTAATACAATGTAATTCCATTAGGACCATCAGAACTAACATCTGGCCTGTTAAGCATCTTAGCCAAAACCATTCAAAATACTTAATGGCTCTATTTCTTAACATTACCTGTTGACTCAATTTTTTGAGGTATGAAATGACGCTGTAACTAAGCCCATATTCCATACTGTCTGCTATTAGGTTAGGTGCTCCCATCATTCTAACAGCTTTCTTCAAAGGCTATAGGAAAAGAGAAAACATCACTCAATCCTAAGCTTGTCAAAAATGTAAGACTACATGTATTGTCAGTTTTGAAGATTTCTTCAAAAAAATTTCTCCTTTTTTTCAATAAGAGAGTAACATAATCATATTTGTATTTCAGTAAAATGTTTGCCAGTGGTACGAAAGGTAGCCTGAAATACTTAAAAAGGATTAGAGGCTATACTTTAACAGTACCTGGGACAAGAAAGGGTAAAGTCCTAGACTCCTTAGTACCACTGGAGATACTAAGTTTGGAAGAAATGGGCAGGAGACATATCACAGAGGTAGATTTGATAGAAATTAAGAAGTGAAAAGGAGGCAAGAAAAATGGAAGATTTCTACCTTGGGTAACTGTGTGGGTTATGGCTCAACCATTCACTAGCTTTGTGGCCCTGGACCAGGTTATATAGCCTCTCTAGGTCTAAAGTTTCTCATTTGAAAAGGACAATAGTATCTGCTTCAAAGGGTTGTCATGGGATTAAATGAATTAATACATGTCAAGCACATATAAAAGCACTGGGTACACAGTAGGCATTCAGTAAGTGTTAATCATTACTACTGTTATTATTAGCTGAACTGAAAAAATAGAAACAAGCTCTGAAGGAAAAACCAGTCTAATATTTACTGTGGATGTGGTATAGTGAAATAATTTTCAACTGTAAGGAGATTCCACCATTTGTGCAATGAAAGATGTCACTAGCAGGACAGTCTAGTATGTGTGAGTGGGATGCAGTCAGAAAAGGATGACAGACATTCACTGACATCAGAAAGTGTATAAGCACTGGTGTCAAACTGGAATCAAATCTCAGCTCTGATATTTAAAATCCATATAGCTTTGCCTAAATCCTGCAGGTTCCTATGAAACGTAAATGAGTCAACATGTGTAACAGTACATATTCAGTGTTTCTTCCTTTTCACTCTTACATGGCAGGCACTATGTGCTAGACACACAACTTCTCTCTTACAACTCAAAAATATGATTTTCAAAGCTCAATAAATTAATGCTCTTAGTAGAGACCATTTAGAAAGATTAGATACAGTCAAATGCTATAATATTCCTGCATTAAAAGTAAAAGTAATGTTTAAAAATGCTTTTAACATTGGTCTCCTTAAGAAATTACTTTTCATACAATAAATAATGTATTTAATAATATTGGTCTTATCTACTATGATACACAAGGTTTTAAGTACAGGTGACCTCTGAACAACATGAGGGTTAGAAGTGCCTACCCCACACAATCGAAAATCCACGTGTAACTTTTGACTCCCCAAAACTTAACTACTAGCCTGCTACTGACTGGAAGCCTAATAACATAATCAATTTTTGTATGTAATATGTATTATATATATACTATATTCTCACAATAACACCTAGGTTTTTCTTGATGTTTTTGTCAACATTTCTAGGCTATATGGTTCATCTGCAAGTTTTTCAAATTGCCACAAATCTCAAAAAAATCCTCCTTTGTATTTATTGGAAAAAATCCACATATAAGTGGACCCATGCACTTCAAACCTGTGTTGTTCAAGGGTCAACTGTAATCACAAACTCATGGTTCTAAAAATATGATTCTCTGAGAATACATACTTATCTACCTAAAAACATGTTTCTGGAGACCTAGGGAATAATGCAACAAAAACCATTCTGTACCCTTAAAGAAAAATAGTTATAAAACTGCAATTTAAGACAAACCATAAGAGACTCTGAATCTCAGGAAACAAACTAAGGGTTGCTGGAGTGGAGGGGGGTGGGAGAGATGGGGTGGCTGGGTGATGGACACTGGGGAGGGTATGTGCTATGGTGAGCACTGTGAATTGTGTAAGACTGATGAATCACAGACCTGTACCCCTGAAACAAATAATACATTGTATGTTAATAAAAAAAAAAAAAAAAACCCCTGCAATTTAACAAGGGAGTACATCAACTGGAGCTATTCAAAAAGCCAGGCTGCCTGGGATTAAATTCCAGTCTCCCACACCTTAGCTATGTAGCCTTGGACAAATTATTTAATCAGTTAGTGCCTTAGTTTCCTCATCTGTGAAATAGGAATGATGATTTCTATCTCATAGGGTTACTATATATAAATTAAATGAGGTTAATAGAACATTATATCAAAAACTAATGACTACTATATGTTGGCTAATTGAATTTAAATTAAAGAAGAAAAGAAAAATAAATTAAATGAGGCTAATACATGTAAAATGCCTAGCATAATATCAGGCCTAATGTATGCATCATATATACATCATCATGATCATTATCATTGTTATCATCATTACTATGCAAATCACTGAAACCTTTCTTTCCCATTACATCTATACTGGTCATTTGAACACTCAATTTTCATGACATTTGTATATTCTGTACATTCTGTAATAGCAACAAATAGAAGTTTTAATACCTACAGTAAACTATAAGCATAAAGTAAAATTTTAGAACAAGTTCTATTTTTAATAATAACATTCTTACCCCAAGATAGTAGGGAGGCATTGTCTTCAAATAACTTTCAAACGACTGTCTCCATTTCAATGTTGGTTTTGCTTTATGTACTTTAAACAAGTCATCTATAAATGTATAATGTGAAAAAACTATCATCATCCATTGTTTCCACACATGAAAATCAAGTCAAATACATTTCATTTTTAAAGTCAGCTTTCTTATTTGTAAGAGAGTAACATCAGACATTAAAAAACAAAATTAAAAGGGGCAGAATTTTTGGTTCTGCCCAAATTTTGAGTAGTAATACCATTTTAAACATAAAAAGATGCCAATCATGTATTTCATGTAATAATATTTCATGTAACAATAAAGGCAGAATCAGAAAATACACGAGAAAATCTATACACTATCTAGACTTAGACATAAAACAGATTTGAGGACAGAAGCAAAGTATGCACAATGTCTTCTATAAAATATACCTAATACTTTGACTATAACTTTTAAATCTGATGTGGTTCCCTGGAGGGAAAGATGTCTTCTCCAATAGTTAAAATTATAACTCAAAATTATAGCCAGAGGGTCCCCAGAAACTAACTTTAGGCTTTTATTATATTGTTTTGGAATAAATTTATTCATTTAGAAAAATACTTGCCAAATGAAAATTAAAGTACAGGTAAATGCTTAGAAAATATACTCAGATTTATAAATATATGCTTCTACAAAATGTCTAGTTTACCAAATACAAAGCCTGTATTACCAATTCTAACCATGTAAGAAATCTAACTTGTAGAAAACTTAGAATATTTAAAATTTAAAACACAGTATCTTCAGTAGTTTATACAATCAAAGGTGTTTTGACAATGACTTTTAATTTACCACAGACATACACAGGTTGCTACAAAACCACCTAAGATAGGCTCAATATTTCAGAGTATTAAAAACAGTTCCATTAATTTCCACAAGGCATGAGAACTTACAAAGAGATGTTCCCAAACTTTGTTTTTAGGAAAATTTGTATGTATGCTGAGCCACAGAGAATGCAACAAGAATGACTTACCTAAAAGGGGAAGGAGGACTGGGTAATTGTAAGGCATCACAAACAAGTTGACACAGTTCAGTGCTGTACTGGCTTTCAAGTAACCAAAGGGATGACCAAGTTCACTATATTTTGCACTATTGCTCACATATACCTGTTAAAAGGGAGTGGTTAAGACTTCATATTTAATGACCTTTACAAAATGTTTTATAAATCACTAATTTAACTTTTTTAAAAGAATATCCAACTTTTAAGTCACTATAGTTTTTCAGCTCACCTGCCAACATGTTTGAGGAGATTTCCTTTCCAGGATAAACTGAGTCAGTGGTGAAGGTTCCAACTCATATTTGTCAAATGGCAATTTGTCAATAACCATCGGTTCACAGTCTGTACAGGAAAACTTCACTACAGGATGAGACGTACGAGGTGGCTAGAGGGGAAAGTCTTATTATTACTACTTACACAAAATACCAGAAACAAACTCATTTTCAGTATCCCTCACTTCACTATCAAAATTTACTCAGTTCCTCAATTTTGCTAGTAAAGAGTTTAATTTACTACTGAAAGCGCTATTAAAGCTGAAAGAAAATACTTAAAAATGTAATGCTTAAATTTTACATTCACAAGAAAAAGACAAAACATTTTAAAATGTATACAGAATAAAAATATTTTTAGGTCTTAAAATCAAATTTATCAGAAAAGTGCAAAATTTTGGAATTAAGTACTCATTAATTGTTACATCTAAGAAATAAAAGTATAGAAACCTTCCTAAGTTCTCAATTATAGCAATTTAATTTCTTGTATGGAGCAATAGCTTCCAAACTGATTAGACACATTGTTCAGTAAAAGTTTTTGAATATATATTAGGACATATATACATTTACTTATAAATTATTTGTAAATTAATTTATAGGTATATAATAAAATATATACCAAAATAATATTAAAAATAGGACAAAAAGGGGTGCCTGGGTGGCTCAGTCATTAAGCATCTGTCTTCGGCTCAGGTCATGATCCCATGGTCCTGGGATCGAGCCCCTCATCAGGCTCCCTGCTCAGCAGAAAGCCTGCTTCTCCCTCTCCCACTCCCCCTGCTTGTGTTCCTGCTCTCGCTATCTCTCTGTCAAATAAATAAATAAAATCTTAAAAAAAAAAAAAATAGAAAAAGATAAACATAAATAGAAGTTCTGTTTTCCTTTGGTTATCTCTGTGGTATATACATACTACCTTGGACAAATGATCTAAAGATAGAAAAAACACAATACTTTAAGGGGGAAAAAAAGGCATGTTATTCTATTCCCTGCTCCCCCCCAATAATCTCCTTCCAAAAAATCTCACTGATTGAAGGTTGATGAAAGAAATATGAGCTATGAAGAAATAATTTGAAATTTTACTGCTATAAAAGATTCTTATTACTCCATTACTACCTATACCCTGGTGGCTCCCAAATCCAGTGTCAGGACCGAATCTCCCTCACTTCTCTTATGTTCCAACTGTCTACTAAACAGAACCAGAACCTTCTATAAGTCCCTCAAACACATTATTATGCAATTTATTATTTCTTCCCCCAAACTACAAAACCTGTTTTAAAAACCTAGGTGTTGGGGCGCCTGGGTGGCTCAGTCTGCTAAGCATCTGCCTTCAGCTCAGGTCATGATCCCAGAGTCCTGGGATGGAGCCCTGCATTGAGGGGTGGGGGGGGGTCGCTGCTCAGCGGGGAGTCTGCTTCTCCCTCTGCCCCTCACCCCGCTCGTGCTCTCTCTCTTATACTCTCTCTCCAATAAATTCTTTAAAAACAAACAAAAACAACCTAGGTGTTATCCTTAATATCTCCTCCTTATCCTCATTATTTAACTGTCACAAAGACCTAGATAAAATCTCACAAATTCTTAAACCACTAGGTAGAACACATAAACTTGGCAGGTGCTTAGTATTTACTTACTGCCTTCTGGCAATAATAAATTCTCATCTCTCTAAAAAGTTCTATCTTCTATTTCTTAGTACTCTAATTGATGCCTTCATCATTTCTCAGACTAGACTAGTACAACTGCTTATTTTTAATTAACCTCTCTAATTAGCTCCCTCCAATCAATCCCATAGCCATGAGATATAAATATGATCATGTAATTTCCCTCTCTAAAATTATTTGGTAAAAGTAGCAACCAATCACCTAAAAATAGGACCCAGACTCTTTTCTTTAAATATCATATACAAAGATCCTTGATGATCTGGTCCCTATCTGCCTTTCAACTAACACACCATGATACACCCTGTGCTCCAGCCATGCCAAACCACTTGCAGTTACCCAAGTAGATCAGCTTCTTTTTAAGCCCCTGGTTTCGTGTTATCTCTGGCTGCTCTATTGTTTTCTCCCTTGCATATTACAAAGTTTTGAAGTCTGAACTGGCAAGTAAGACATCTAAGAGATTTCCTTCCTGACACCCTTTCTTGCCTTGTACCCCAAATACATACCAGGCAGTTAGGCACCACCTCCTCTGGGCTCTGCTCCATGCAGCTAGTACAGTAGTTACCACACTGTTTTGTATTATGCTCACAAGTCTGACCCTCCTATGGAATGGTAAGATTCCAGAAGTAAGCACTATGTTTTATCATCTTGTGCTCCTGAATCTCACATGTACCTGACACATATCTTATTAAATCAGTCCATGAAACTCACTTATATTTTTGAATGAAAATATTGAGATCCAAGAGGAAAAACGCGTGCTAGTGGGGGAGGATGTCTTCTAGAACTTGGCAAAGAAAATTCTGCATTTATCACTTCATTTAATCCCCCAAACAATCCCATGAGATAGCTGTTATCTCCATTTAACTGATGGGAAATTGAGGTTTGGAGTAGATAACTGACCAAAACATAGCTAATAACTGGTGGAGCCATGATTTAAATTCAGAACCAGTGTCTAACAAATCACATTTAATTTCAGTATCACTACATTGTATTTGAATACCATTATTATTAAAAATTCATTTCCCCTCTAATATCCTTTAGTTAATTTTGCCAGTTTTCCAATATTGTCTCTTCCTTTATGATTCTCTCTTCCATCATCTTAATTCATTCTCTTAAAATCTCTTAAATGAATCCTAGCAATAGCCCTCTAGATAACCTGCTTACCATCCAACTCATCTCCTAATTTTACTGCAGATGAAAACCACTAGATTAAATTTCCTAAAGCAGCACTCTGTTAAAAACATCTTCACTTATTCTGTGAACCCCATCACAGTGAGAAAAGATCAAATTCCTTAACCTTGCATTTAAAGTCATGAGCAACTGTCCCACACACATATTATGATCCACCTATACTCAGCTGTTTCTCATTCCTCTAAATACACCTTGTTCTTTCTTACTTCCATACTTTTTTCTCATACTGTTTCCTCCCACCACTGAAATCCTACCCACACTTCAAAATCTAACAATTTGCAATAGAACAGTAGAGCAATATTAACAGATAATGCTTGTGACACTGGTTTTGGATTTCTATTAGGACTCAACAAGTACTATACATACTACTATAGATGTTAAATACAACAGAATGAATAACCAACAAGACAATATTTCATACAAATATGATATCTATTCTATGAACGTCTCTACTTTCTCAGAAGAGAAAGTAAAATGACTAAAGAAATTAAGCACTTCTCTACAAAGGCCAGATTTTAAAACTATGATGATTCAATCAGAAAAAAAGAAAAGGAATAAAAAAGATACTTCTTATAAGGTCTTAATTTCATGTACTACTTCACTAAATCCCTAAATAGAGGAAATATTGCTTTATAGACTTTGTATAGAGCAAAAGTAAATATTGCCCTGAAAAGTCGATACAGCTTTAAAGTTTAAAGGTTTCAACTCGTGCACTGCAGGTGGGAATGCAAACTGGTGCAGCCACTGTGGAAAACAGTATGGAGGTTCCTCAAAAAGTTAAAAGTAGAACTCCTCTACCATCCAGTAATTGCATGGGTATTTACCCAAAGAACACAAAAACACTAATTCTAAGGGATACACGTACCCTTATGTTTATAGCAGGGAGCCTGATGGTGGGGCTCAATCTCAGCACCCTGGAATCATGACCTGAGCCGAAGGCAGACGCTTAACGACTGAGCCACACAGGTGCCCCAACCTCACTATTTCTAAAAATAATTCATATAAACAAGACCAGAAAGTCATTTCTACTTAAAACTTCCAGAATGAAAACACTGGACATAACATAAAACCATGAAAGTCAACATGAATTTCTAAGACTACGTCCTAAAAGATTACAAACAATTGGAATTATTTTCTAAACTTTCATTTAAATTCTAAATTGCGTCCTAGAAACAAAATCCTTATGTTACATTAATATTTAGAGACCGAAGAGAAACTCTTGTTACATTATGATTCTGTACCCAGATGCCAATAATAAAAACATAAGCACAGTATTAGATTCTAAAGGAAAGTGACACCTTTTTTCTATTACTTCATAATGAACAATACTAAATCACATAATAACTTACCATAGCTCTTTGAACATCTAATTCCTGTAAATTAGCCACACCTTTGATAGCAGTACTTAAAACTACTATGAAAAGCAGTTAAATGGTTACTATTACAAGGTCACAGTCATTTTGGTACTTACTAGTGTTGGAGAATTCTGATCTGGCCAAAAAGATTCTGGAACAGGCCAATGACCTATAGGAACCCCAGTTTTAGGATTTGGTCTGACATATATGAGTTTGTGACAGCTATGCCAAGGCTGTGATCCAAATGGTCTTGATATATCTGGCTGCCCATCTGTAGCAAAGAAATTAAGACAAAGAAAGTTAAGTATCATTAAGGAAAAAAAACATAAAAAGTTAAATTATATCCATTGTTACTTAATCTAATAAAAATGTCCAAATACTTGTTCAATTCTGAATTTTCCGGTTTCTTTTGAATGGTTCTACTATCATGACTACTTAACATTTAGATTAAAATTCACGAACTAGTAAAGTCTGTAAATTCCAACTATGAATTCAACAGTTGAAAGGAAGTCCCACAGTATCCTTTGCTTGCCCATTCAGAAAAGGTAAAACCTACTTTATGGTAGATACTTGTTTAAGGAATGATGTGTTTTCCCTATCAAATGATAAGGGCAAACACCCAATCTCTTCATCATCATACTTGGCTTAGTAAATACTAGGTAAGTATTGCTAAATGAAGATTTCTTTAAAATCTTTTTTAACTAAATCCTAATTAACTAAAATAATTTTAATATGCAAATCCAGATTCGAGGCATCTACCTTCAATCTAAAATAATTCTAGCAAAATAGCAACTGTCTTCAACAGTTCAGTAAACATTTACTTGGTACCTAACTCTAAGCCAAATATTAAAATAATTTAAGAATAAATATACATTCCGTGTCTAAGATTCAATTAAAGAAAAAGCTTATTTTTTTAAAACAGACACAGTGACACAATTTATGTAACTTTACTATTTTCTGCTCCTTCCCTATTATCCCCCTCTGAGAGTACCCAGTTTTTTTATCCTTATGACCTTTCTCTTTTCTCAATTACCCACTCTAGTGGATCACCTCAGCCAACTGTCATTAATGACTTTGTAATTATTGTTATAAGCTATGTCATACTATGCAGAGGATCTCAAATATAAGCTGTCCAGTGGTTCTAGGGCAACCCCTTATACTCTCTAGCTAATATAAATAGTTCAGGATCACAGAATATTAAAATAAAGTCAGGTAGGGGAGCCTGGGTGGCTCAGTCGTTAAGCGTCTGCCTTCGGCTCAGGTCATGATTCCAGGGTCCTGGGATCGAGTCCCGCATCGGGCTCCCTGCTCGGTGGGAAGCCTGCTTCTCCCTCTCCCACTCCCCCTGCTTGT